CTCTCTCTCTCTCTATATATATATATATATATATATATATATATGTAAATATATAGTGAGAGAGAGAAAGAGTAAACAAAGCGAGGGTAATTTTAATCAATGCAGAAAAGTTGGTCTTCATGTCAATTGTATTGCTTGAAAACCTTCAGATTCTCCCGATAGAGGGCTTAATAGACGATTTTTTATGCTGCGCAGGGTAATGGTCACCTTTTCTTTCTCTTAGACAGTATTTTAAAACTTGTCTCTCAAATGGAACGAAGCTTTTTGAAGAATTCTAGTAATCTATTGGAATTAGGGGTTATGCAAGACAAAATTACACCTTAGTATGAGTTATATTTCTTTAACCTAAGGAAGGGAACTAAAGATTAGGCTACTCTTTCATTAGCATGTAACATTTCAAAAAATGCCGACGTTTTGATAGATTTCTGTTACAATTTATTGATTTCTTGGTTCTTCACATTTCTTTCGTTTACTATAGCTCTATCGATCGTTGTCCTTTCTTGAACAGGCTCCCTTTCGTACTCATTCTAAATTCTCCATTTTTTCTTGTCGATTCCTAACACCAATAGCTCAGTTCAGTGCATACGTAGCAGTTGTAGGAAAAGCTATCCGAAAGATGGCGTGATGCATGGTATGATCGCGTTTGTCGAAATTCTCTGCTAGCAGTACATCAGCATCTGTATCGTGATCAAAACTGGTTAAGCAAGGAGTCCAAGAAATTTCAGGATTTCTTCGTCAGAGAAGATATTCAGATGATAAAACAGAACTTTCAGGTAACCAATGCCTAACGCTTTTTTTAAATAGTGAACACGAGTACAGGTAACTGGGAACATATGAAACAGGAAGAACATGACTACTTCGTTGTGGGGAGAGAAAAGCAAGATGGAAAAGTTGAATTTTTGAGCTCAACTAGTTTAAGTACACTGTTAGAGGGGTTAAATCCATTCCTGTACATTAAAACATGTTTGTCCGAAAGTACACATTAATTTTTTATAAAATAATTGAACGTCACTACACGTCAATATGTAGATCTTGGAATTTCTATTTCAATAAATGTGTACACTGTTGGCCCACCTATGTTGCTTCAAGGTTTTAAAGCGGTATTATTTTTGAGCTTACAAAAGCTAACAGAAGCACGATCAGGCGGCAATAATCTACGTGGGTAACCTACCATAGTGACTGTAAAGGAAGGAAAAAATGAATAGCACCAGAAGTTTACTTACGTACTTACTTGGGCGGTCCGTGTTCGAGGGTGTGAGTCTCACACCCGTGATCTGTAAAACAACTGTAGCTGCGAGTACGGCAGGTTGACTTTAGTTACGAACACGTTCGCTGAACGTGTGGGCGGTTATACTAGGAGACGCTTGCCTTCTCGTCTGAACCATTCTACAGTTTTTCGTTACACCAGAAGTTTTGGTCCCAAGTTATTTATGTTGTTTAGTTGAAGATTGTATTTTAAGTGGTAAGGAGAATTTATGTCATCATTCTTAGCGGTTAATGATAAGAAATACATAGAAATATTTAGCTAATTGGCACCTTATTTCCTCATCCCAGTTTCCTGGTGCAGGTATTAAACACAAAAAATTTCTGGGAAAATAAGCTTAGGAGGAAATGAATGAATTGGTTAACATGTGAGCAGAGAACAAACAGGTGATTGAGAATAAAGGATAGATTGTTTGGTATTGGTCAATGTCTAAGGGATGCTCCATGCATTCCACTTCATCAAGCGAAATAGAGCAAACTGGAAGGTGGTTCCATGCATGTCTGACCTCGACAATGACTTGCGGTGGCTTGCTGGTGTATCAAATCACTGCTGCTATCTTGCTAGACAAATCTTTTGCCAATTATCCAACACCGGATTGATGGAAGGCTTAGTGAGCTTGGGACGAGGGATCGATCCAATGATAGCGTGTGTATTGCAGGGAACCTCTAACCACTGCACTACACTCATGGAAATTTCGTGAATTAAATAAAAGAAAACATGTTCAGATCTTGGTAAATTACTGTGCCGATGACAACATAGCATGCGCCCAAATTTTCAAGAAATTATGGCCAGAATTTCAGCAGAGGTATTGTTTAATCCTAATCTATTTGGTTTCGTGTGTGTGTGTGTGTGTTTTCTTTACTTCGCTGCAGTTCTTATCCTTCGCTACGGATGGTGTTTGAACATGGACCAGATTGGAATTCGTTAGGCCATTGTGTCATATAAGAGGAAGAAATAAAAATAAGATAGATTTTGCTCTCTTCAGTTTTCAAACACGCCCGTAGATGGAACTGTATGTAATGCTCATTGTCATTTTTGATGTGAATGTTTTCTTTAGCGGAAATGCAACTATGTTCTGCCTGTATGGTCTTTCTGCTTGGGTTTATTCAGCCACTTCGGTAGTCATCTTTGAATATAGAATTATTATTTGTTACTCCATAGTTAGTTATAACTCCCAACGGATTACCGCCTCATCGTGGCTACGGGCTGTTCCTGGGCAGCGATCTACAGCGAGGGATCCATCTCCAGGCAGGGTCTCCGAAGCTGAGAAGATGTCCTACTTTTCCATCGGCAAGCCCAGCTAAGAGGAAACCAATACCAGGGTCCACCACCGTTATAGTGTCAAACTATGAGCATGGTGGGAAATCTCCTGATCTACAACGACGGCGACTGTCTGTGATGGTCACAACCTGGGGCAGACTTTGACCAAGCTGTCCTTGGGGCTCCAAAGAACCACAATGGCTTAGCTAGCAAAACTCTGAAAAAATAGAAATTATGCTGGGACCCGCTCAACCAGTAAAGACGGGTCATCTAAGCAAGTATCCAAATATAGTCCTGATGCGTTAGATTCTTTGTTGGTGATTCATTCCATATTGACCTTCTTTAGTTTGGTATATTTTCTTGATGCTCTTTGTTTTAGATTTCCTCACCCGGCAAGCCTTTTTGGATTGCTTAATGTTGGAAATGTTTACATACCTATCAACGAAAATTGGGACCTTTTCTTGAAGGTGGTTTTGTTAGTTTTGTACTTATTACATTATTTTCATTTCGTTATTTTCTAGAACAATGATCGAACAAGTGAGGAAACGAAAGAGGCTGGAGCTAGGGTCCTGATTGAAGCAGCCAGGAAAGTGTTGGATGTTTTGAAACCAGATGAAGGCGATGGAGTAAAAGTGGACGCATGGTTTTTTGATGTAGATTGGTCGTTTAAAAACGGGAGCGAGTATCCAGAGTGAGTTGGAGTCATTGACCATTTGCTCATCTTTTTGAAGAAACCATGTTGTTTGCGAAGCAAGGTGTCTTTTTTTCGCTTAAATTCAAACAGAGGTGCCATCAGCAATCACCCATCAACGGGAATGATCTGGGGAAACCCAAATCTGCATTGAGCCCAATTAAGCTGAGGTTGTAGTCGAAATTGCAATCCCCCTTTGACGGTTGATTACTGATGACACTGTTAGGTAGGAATCTGGCTGAAAGAAAGGCAACATAAGGATCTCGGTGCCGTACATAACACGTGAGCCTCCGGAAAGAGTAACAGTGGTTCGATCTGGCCTGGGATCCGTGTTTTGCAAAGATCTCAGCATCACAGTGATTGTATTTCATATCATACGCTAGCATAAAAAATAATAAGTGGCAGTAAATAAAGACAACATTGTCATTTCGAATGAAAGATTTAAGCTGATGAAAATAGTGCTATCATTCCCAGGATCGATTTTCTCTTAACCTCGGCATTGGAATATGAATGTGTCGTTTTCTGTTCAGCAATCGCGAGGTTTTTAAACAGCATACATTTACTTCCATAAAAACACAATACAATACAACGCTAGCTGACGTTTCGGCAGTATCGCCTTCTTCAGAGTCGCTTTTACGTGACTTCCAATGAGGAAGTTTAGAACAGCTGATTATAGTCGCATCTCAGCTGTTCTAAACTTCCTCATTGGAAGTCACGAAAAAGCGACTCTGAAGAAGGCGATACTGCCGAAACGTCAGCTAGCGTTGTATTGTATTGTGTTTTTTATGGAAGTAANCTTCCATAAAAAACACAATACAATACAACGCTAGCTGACGTTTCGGCAGTATCGCCTTCTTCAGAGTCGCTTTTTCGTGACTTCCAATGAGGAAGTTTAGAACAGCTGATTATAGTCGCATCTCAGCTGTTCTAAACTTCCTCATTGGAAGTCACGAAAAAGCGACTCTGAAGAAGGCGATACTGCCGAAACGTCAGCTAGCGTTGTATTGTATTGTGTTTTTTATGGAAGTAAATGCATGCTGTTTAAAAACCTCGCGAGTGCTATCATTGTAAAAAAAGAAAAGTTTGTGTCTTGCACACAGATCACGCGCATTTGCAGGTGGTATTTTAAGTTGTTTTCGAAACGAGGAAATGCCCTCTACGATATTGGATCTCTAACTAGTGAACATGTGGTCATGCGAAGTACTTTTGTACCACTCATATTTGGTAAGTACTTGTGGCTTTGTAGTTCATCTGGACTGAAAAGCACGGTAATACTTTACGTTTTGTAACGAAGGAGGAGAGTAAGCTGTGAAATACAGAGAAGAATTCGCTCTTGTGACTTATAGGATCCAAGGAAAGATTAATTGAGAAGTAACAAATTCAGCCTCTGAGAAAGCATGGTATTTTTTCACGTGTTGCTATTACATGGCATCAGATCACATGTATCACACTATGTGGATCCCACCACTTCCACTCAATTTATTTTCTCGCTGTTCACGAATGTCTTCGGACTTTCTTTGCGATAGTCTTGTTTGGACGTTCCTATATAGATTAGAGAGAGCGAACTTGTCACGTACAAGTCTGGCACAAGCTTCCCGATCCCGGAGTGAGAGAGGACAGGTTCATGCGCTGCGAGGTCGAACTACTGTCACATACATAGAAGAAGTCCCTCTGCGTAATAAATGGGAGCATTACCACTGCGTCACGTGCTCCCGGCTAATATTATGCTCATCTCGTATTATCACCTATATCACCTGACAACCAGTTGATCATAAAGTCACCCGAGTGGGCGCCAATAAATCTTCCATTTTCACTTGCGAGCAATAGTAGCTCAAGAAGTTTTGCTCGCTCTTGTGACTTGTTGAGTATTATGTCTTTCTTCTAGGGTTTTCTCGAAGAGCTCTGACTATCGTCTCGGTGGCCTTCCTGCTGTGCAATTAACATACCGAGAACCTAACGGGTCTAATCCATTGGTTGTACGCATCACGTGTCCGGTCTACCTCATCTTCGACAATTTAGCATATAAAACAGCGACTTTGGTTTTTTTTATCGTTGACATAAGTCGGAGATTCGGATCATCTCGCTCACTTTCGCGATACGGAATACTACCAGCATCGTCCTTTCGACTGCGCGTTCTCTAACGTTGAGTGGTCCTTCATCCTGTATGTATAACGACCAGGTTTCTGACGCATATAAGGCAGGAAGTACTGTTGAGTCGAAAAGGTGGGCAAGGAGTCGGGTGTTCATATTATAGGAAACATGCTTGGGTTGTCTTACGTAAGATGTGCACATGCTTGCTAATACTACTAAGATGCATTACTTCCTACAACATCCAACCCTAAACTGATATGAGGTTGTGAAAATTTTTTCTTAGGGATGATTTATGGTCCTTATCCTCTACATCGATCAGAAAATCACGGTTGGGGTTACTTGGTACCAAAGAAGGAGAACGGTGAGCCTCTTCACTTTTTCTTCTTTTAGAATAATCTAAAACACTATAGAAAATTATTCCGAACGAATATACGACTTTGGCTAGATCTAGAAAAAGCCACTATTTCTGCTGTTTGTCAAAGATGTGTTGGCGTAGTACGAAAATCAACTCAGTTCCGATAGCACAAGAAGCCAAAATTGTGCCTTTTACATTATCTTTTTTTGTTGTGAACTTTATAAAATCTTTTATCAGTGCATCTCGAAATTAACAAATTTGTTTGTAGCCCTAGAATCTCCGTGCGTTGAGGCTCGTTCAAAAATGTCACAGTGAGTATTGTTTCACCTTTTATGTATGACCTATGTCTCCTCGTTTTTTTAGGAACTATTTTCTTTAGAAATTATGAACACATCTGCAAGGTAATATCGAGAAACATGAATGAATTTGGTGATATACAGCATTCTGGAAAGGCTTACTGTTTTGATGAGTTCCTTTTCTATCGACTTCCACATCCGGTACGTTCCAGAGCTTCGTCCGTGCTTCAGTTCAGATTATTTTTTCCATACAGTAGTAGTGATTGTGACGTGGGAATTGATTTTAACAGCATCAGAAATCATTCCGGAGTGATGCTTTAAAATATCTGTAGAGCGGTAATCATTTTCGCATGAGACATGAACATGAGAAGTTGTTCTTAAAGTTGAACACTTATCCACAAAACGTATGCTTCCATTTCTTTCTGAGGAATAGATTCTCAAAATCGTCGTGTTGTAAATACAATCACTTTAAAATTGGCTTGAGAAGCTATAAAGACGGAACTCGAATGATTGATCGCCTTGGAGAAAATGGTTTTCAGCAAGGAGCTCAGAATGTCGGAGATCCGTTAGGAAAGCATTTTTTGCGATATATTGAGTCGAAGGTGTTACGTCCAACAAGACACATAGATGAGTTTTTTGTTCTACTTGATGCTGTGAAAACCACCAAGTTTTGGACAAATTATGCGTAAGTTATTCAACTTGATATTGACAGTTATTTACCTTCAAAGTTGTAACAGATGTCCGACAGTGCTTGTTTTTTGATGAATGGTGAACTTGAGGAGTTGGAAACTATACAGATACGTGTTCTTTCATTAATAAGCTAACACAAAGCTGCTTAAAAGCTCAATTCTGCTAATGTTTCTTCTTCATCTTTTTTTAATCAACCTCTTCTTAGCTTATCAATGGGAGACTACGTATTGATTAGTCATGCTGGGTTTAGAGGAAGATCAGTTTTTGAAATAATTCATAGATATATGGATGAGATTTTATCTCATCGTTCTAAGGATATATATATATATATTTATAACGTATAGTATATGTAAAGTAATGCGCGTCCTAACAGCGCGTATGTTATGGAGTCCTTCGACGTTACCGCCACTTATACTAAGGTGACGCCGCAAAGCAAGGCATCCGTAAGCTTCTTATACAACAAGAAAGAGTAACAAACATCTATTACTTCTCCATTCAGCAGCTCATAGCCCTCCTAAAGGTGCGCCTAAACTGCTCTTTCTTCAGATGGTCAGGGAAATTAGAGGATTGGCAGTGGGACAGCGATTGACACCAAGCCTTGCAATTACCTTTATGTCTAAGGTGAAAGCGTCTGTAATTGTTTTCCAGCCATTACTCTACTGTAGATATATAGGAGATTGTTTTATCATATGTCCACAGGGGGCGTGTGGCGCCGTGGTCGGAGACGTCTTGCGACAGGCACATGAGATCGATCGCTGCGCTCGTGGCTCATCAAGCCTTCCATCCCTCCGGGGCCGGTAAATTGGTACCAGACTTGTCTGAAAGAATAGCAGTACTTTCTCGATACATTGGTATGCCACCGCGAATCATTATAAAAGCCAGATATGCATTCAGTCACCTCCAACGATGCTTAGTGAAGTCGAATGCATGGCATATCCCTCAGGAATTGATCAACGCCGGGAGTTTTATTTAGCTTTATATGCTTGAAACATGAGAAGATACAAAAATGCTTTGAACATTCGGAGTACATAACATTTACCCAAGAAAAACCGAAAGAAAACTGGCTTCTGTTTATGATCTTTCAAATCAACCTGTCCGAAAACGGCTAGATTACAACAAAATGGTACCGAAGGCCAATTGTTAAAAACATAGTGCTTCACAACCTCTCCTCTCATTCCTCATACCAAAAGCACGCTTGTAAGAAATATGTTTTGAACAACCACTAATGTGTTCACAGGAAAAGACCAGAAGGAAGATTCTTGAAATTGGCGCGGCAAATAGCCATTTCGAATGGCTACAAAACTGTAGCTCCTTGGGATAGACGTAGAGGAAAACTAAGCCCTTAGGCGATAATTCTAGCCAGAATGAGGTCCCATTTGCCTTTCCTCTTTCATTTCCAACGAAATAGATGCAGCCATAAAACGTTGCTTAGGAATGATCGGTCTAAAGAATTCGGTAACAGTGATAGAAACACCATAGGGCACTCTTAGACGGCAGCTATTTCGTAGCCGCCTGTATGACCCTTATGTACAATAAGAAATTGCAAAGAATGCCCTAACGGTAGAGACGGTGATTACGTGAGTTCGGGTGCGGTGTACCTAATCTCTTGTAAGGCTTGTGGGAACTAATACGTTGACCAAACAGATATACTCAGGAATGATCGGTCTATACTACTCTGCGTGCGTTTAAAAGAACACCTGATCGGTAAGTTTAAACCCTTATTAAACAAACAGTTCACTAGGCTGGCACAGGGCAGAGAGACATAACAGAGAAGATTTTGAAGTAAAAGCCACTATCTTTGCGCAGAAAACCAGAACATCAGAGCATAAAACTCTTGAAGCGTTTTGGATCAATTCAAAAGATCCAAAAATGAATCGCAAGTAGGTGTGCTTTGCGATTACCCTTGACCTGGCGCCATACCTCAGGCTGGTTTTTTGACCTCTTTTTCTCTTGTTTGTAGCGGTCATTATGGAGCGAGATTTTTTTTTCGAATTTGAAAACTAATTGATTCCCGTCCATGTTTGAATCACTTATCATCGTATTGTTTACACTTCTGCTCAGCAAACACGAGGTGCTATCACCTGCTACACGAGGTCATCGCATTGTGTTGTTAAAGTGTAAGAAACTGTAGCACTTTGTAATCTCGGAACAGTACTAAATAAATTCACAAAAACTAGCTGAGAGACAGGCAAAACGGAGGACCAGGATGTGTGGTGGTGAAGTGCGCTGCTCCCCGGTAAGGACAACAGCGCGGGTTCGTTCCCCACCGCATACACCTGCGGTCCACGGTTTTGCAAATATCTCAGCATTATATACGAGTTATATTTCGCAACATGCTCTGCCATTTAAAAGAAAAAGGCAGTAAATAAAAGGGTTAAGATTTAAATTCACAATGTTTTACTTTTTATTTTCTGCATTCTTTAATTTTTATGGCAGGGTATTGAGTGAAATGCAGCCACAAGATTGCTGAGATATTTGCAAAACTCTGGACCGCAGGTGTTTGCCGTGGGGAATGAACGCGCTATTTTCTTTTCCAGGAGTAACGCGTTCACCACCACACCATGCGGGTTCTTCGTTTCGCCTTTCTCTTAGCTAGTTCTAGCATTAGATAAAGTTCGTCAAATTGTCTTATGCATCAACGGAGTCGCCATTCGCTCTCTTCAAGACTACCAGACGCTCACCACGCTTTAGATATAATGATTTTTATTTTTACTACTTTTGATGAGAATATAGAGGAAGTTTCTGGAGCAGCAAAGTGGCATATTACACTCCACTGGGCTACCCGATGTGCATGTCAATCCCGTCGTCACTTTGAGTGACTATTGCGGAAGAGACCACGTCTGTAAATTCGTAGTTCGAGGTTGAAAACACTCAAAGTCATTATTATGCGGTTAAAGACTGGGATTAGGAGCTTTAGATCACTACTTGCTTTCGTTTAGACCTTTGTATGAAACGATCGACTTTGATTTTTGTGCGAAATGTAGTGTCTCTATTCTAGAAAACGTTTTGAGGCCGAAATACCAATGTGGTATGATTCAAACGATAAGTCTAGAGTCGGAGCAATTGCACCAGCGATTATACCTGCGGGTACGGTGTCACGACGAAGCGTTCACAAGCTGTGGGTCACGCTCACTAATGAATCTGTGAGTTGGTATTGGTTTTTAGAGTTTTTGCGAAGAACATCCATACACCGTTCTAGCTAGGAATTTTGATCAGGCTACTTTACAGTTAACTGAAAGCAGCAACTTTACTGGCGTCATATTTTTTTTTCAGGGTTCTTTAGTTTAAAAACATAATGCATTTAATAACATTTGCTTGAAATATCTGTTTATGGTTAATTCGTCCATTAATTTCAGCAATTACTCCACCACAGTGAGGGAACTGTTTATTCCAATACACATAAACATCATGAAATATATATCACCCGTTTTATCAGTGTCATTTGCATCACCTGTTCTCTATTTTATCATCGAGTAACCTACTCTGGCGCAAGTGAAGCCTCTATTTGACTCCGTCGCGTACATGAGTTGTCTTCCACATTCCTCTCTCTGGAGCCTTTAGGGACTTCGTATTTTCCCTATAGGGTCTTCATGAAGAACTCAAACCGCCCGCTTGATGGTTTCCTGCTAAATGCTGGATATTTTGTGAGATCCCGTTACTAACACCTGTTTTTTTCCGCTGGTTGTTATCAGTGTTTGTCGAACGTCGTTTTCATACTATTGGAGTACATGGCGGCGTCTCTTATCTTTGGCTGTCGAGTAAATCGGCCCATCGAGGTCCTTTCATCATTTGCGTGATATGGACTACTCTTAATCTCGGCTGTCGGTTCGATAACTCTGAACTGATTATTCTCACTATTACGTAGCACTTCGGTTTCGAACTCGTGCGCCAACAGAGCAAGAACCGAGCATTTCTGTTCTTTTCATCACATGATCGATGGTGTTCGTGTGGTAAAATGAGACAGTAACCTTCCTTAAATGTTCTCTTCCGGTCCTTAAATCACGTTGTGAAGTTTTTCAGACGTTCTGCTTTGGTCAGTATTCGTATTGAAATTGCTGGTGGTGAGCTTACTGAGGGTTTTGTTCTTTTCTGCAGAGCTTCTTCACCTTTGCGGAGAATGTACCAACCTTGTAATGCCTCGATATCGAAGTGTATTTAACAATTATTAGGTAAATTTTATTCCAGCGCAGTAGTAACCCTGAATCCGTCTTTTGAATCTTCCCTTGCTTTAGGGCAAGTACAGGGCCGTGTTTAATCTCCAATGGGAGCGCGCCACGTAACCTAGAGGCGACTGCAAGTCTCTCAGTGGAGGAAATCGCTTTCATCACGCTGCGTGTGTTAGTTTTAATCCTCCGAATCCCCCGAAATATCAACTGCGTCAATCAGGCATGAAAAGTCCCGATGCGAGCTTTCATTATCGTAGTTTTACATCCAGTGAATCCCCTCTTCAGCCATTATGAAGTTCCACAAACTGAGGAAATATAGCAGAGCTTTCGTATATGACATGAAGACTTCGTCTTTTATTTTATTGACATGTTATGATTAAAAGACTTCAGTGTACGAAATTTAGGGGAACGATCGTATTGGTACAGGAATAAAAGCTCTTGTACAAGCTCCAAGTGGTAGTGTTCTGGTTGGAGCTGACGTAGATTCTCAGGAACAGTGGCTCGCCGGTTTATTTGGAGACGCAAGCCATGCAAGTGCATTTCGTGAGTTAGTTCGATTTTCTGCAGTGTTAGGAAAGTTCGAGCTATGAATGTAAACTGGCCACAGTATCTGACGGAAGTCAGTGTGCTAATAATCAAACAGTAGTAGCACACAACTTCAGTCCATATTTTTATGAGCATGTGTTGCTTACCGACCAATGTACGAACTGTGCTTATTAGTTCGTACGGTATTTGCTTTTTTTCGGGCTGCTACGAAGGGTGTTTTGTAGGTAACTTGGGTAGCTAAACTGTTTATACGTACAAATTTTGCACGACTATCACGTATTGAACTTAAAAATGTATACACAGCAAATTCCAAGGTGAATTGGTTCAGAGGGCAATAGTAGTATACATGGAAAATTGCACTAGCGATGATAAGGGGCATTACGCAGCAGGTTAATCAGAGTATGAAATTGTAAGTAGAAGTAGTGTGTATGTCATAGTATTAGTATAGCTACAGCAGCTTAAGTATTTACCCGATGACCGTGCAATAATATCATGGTGGTAAAGGGGTTACATTATACATTATCGACGAGGAAGAATATTCTGCGGAGTGCGAACACATTAAAAGATATTGATGGATTTGGGTGCAGCAGAGTTGTTATCAAATGGGTTGATGTGGTAGACGTGACTTTTGTAGAATACTTATAGAGAGTCCAAGTATTTAAGATATTTGCTAGATTTTCAACAAGTAGTGATTACATAAGGATTGACGACAGATTTAGTATATCATTGATTCAAGAGCGTCAGACTGTAGTGAACATTATATTTGCTTATGCAAATCAAAGGAGCTGTGAGCGGAGGCGAAGCGGGAGAACAAAGCGATAGTGAAAGGGGATGACAACCTTCAGATGTCATCTGAACGTAGGTGGCACTGCAGCGAGGCATGAATAGTATTCAAGCGAATAGCGAAGGTCAATGGATCAACTCACCAAGCAATGTTGCTGTGCTGGATGGATAAAAAGCATCAGTAAAAGACAGGCATGGAGGTCTTGTGTCGACTAGCTTGGGATGCAATAGATTGATTATATGGAAAGAGTAACTAGTGCAAAGAAAAATACATAGTATAAGAGGTGTTAAAATGAAAAATAGAGAATATTTTTCGTGAAATATTCTTTATGGAATGGCTTATTTACGTAATTCTCTTTGACCCACGCAACTAACATTTTGTTGTACAAGAACGCAAAACGAAGAAAAGAATGAATTTATAGCTGAGAGTTATCGACGCCCAGGACTAACGCCGTTTAGCAATATGATGCTCGCTGGATCGAAAGCGGATGGCACAGATCTGCATAGTGTAGTGGCAAATCGGTTGAAAATTGATAGAAATAGCGCAAAGGTAAGCTACCATTATGAATATTCAGTTAAGAAGTCGATATTTTTTGGGATGTCGATGAAATGAGAAAAAATGAAAAGGGTAGTAATTATGTCAATAATTTTTAATAAAAATTTATTGGAAGCTGAATCGTAAGAGAGTCTGTTTATTATCTTACACTCTAAAGAAAACAATGAAAGTCACGGAGAAAAATTTATTGCCACAATGTTTTGCGTCTTTTCTTAGCTTTCAAATTATATATTTTAAAAAGTAACTGCCAGACTTCACATTCTTACTTTTCGTTTTTTTATTGTTATTTCGTCTTTCTTGTTATTTCTCTTCCCTCAAATGATTTCCTCTTGCAACACTCTTCGTTATTCGAATTATCCACTGGAAGATTTTTTATTGCAGTGTCGTGTTGCTTGGTTCAGTAGTAGTGTTGGTTCAGTAGTAGTGTAGCGAATGTAGCCTCTATTGTTCGCCTTGAAGTTTTTGCCCCACCGGACTTTTGTTGTGTGGCGGTATTTTTCTTGTACCTGAAACTTGGGTTGTTAAACCACTATTTACATAATACCGACATTAGCATAACGGCGGTAATGTTGCGAGACCAATGCACCACACAGCTATATGAAGCTACGAGCAATTACGGTTGCATAGTGATACTTGTTCATTGAATATATGAAGTGATGTTAGGAGCGAATAGATGTTATAATATAACTGCTATTCAGAAAAGCAAATAGATGGTTACATAATAGGAGACTAGTTTACTGAGTAGGGAAGACGGTGTGGGTAATGAAAGGGAATGTAATACAATTAGTTTTCAACCAAGACCATATGCAACAGCAAGATAAGCAACAACGCGTTCTACGAAGGAAGGAAAGAATACAAAGTTGCACAAATAATATTGTAAAAGCTTAGATAGGAGGTTTAAGCATTGCGCAAAGTTTGGACTTATTCAATAGCCAATGTTGCATATAGCCAATGGGCCGCCTAACACTAACATGTCGTCGGTGTACGATATTTTGGTGAGTGAAGAAGTGCTATAATACAAATATCGCGTATGCTGGAAGAGAGAGTGTTTAACCATATACTATTGACCAAGGAGGCAGCATATATACGGAACCACGCTAGCCATATTGTAGAGGCTTGTGTGCAAGATTCATGGAATGTCAGAAGGATTTAGGAGGGTGCGAGATTTAACAATTACTTACGTAACTGGAAAATGAAGCTAATTTTCTACTATTAAATTAATTGAGCAGGTAAGCAAGAATTGAATATTAACGGAATAGAGTGTAAATGAGGGAATGCGTAACGCTAATTGAATTAGTTATTCATGAGAGCAATAATACAGATATGTGGAGAAGGTGACGGCTGAATTATGGACTGGAACGGAGAGATGCGATGAACATAGCAAGCTATAGTAAATGAGGGACGTAGAGGACCAAGACTATCCTGGTTGTGCTATTAGGTTTCTGGTTATACCATTTGGGGGCACCAGGAAAGGGCGGAGATGGCATAGTTCTGGTCATGCCATTAGGCAACGACACGATACAGTTATGTGCTGCCAGATCACGTCCTTTGTCGTGCTGCCAGAAAGAGTTCCTTTATTAAGTACCCAGAATTATAGAAAATATTTGCTAGGTACATGGAGAATTCTCTATTTGATGGAAAAATTCGCTATATTCCCTAGGTATATTCTTTTGCACTTTTTGAGATATGTTTCATACAATTCCCTAGTTGAACTCGATTGGAAGGTTGTGAATTTTATCTGCTTCATCTTGAAAATGAGAAACAGCTAGGTTCTTTTACTATGGTTTTCTTAGTGTGTAATATTTTAAGGTTTTGAACTACGCTCGAATGTATGGTGCTGGAGAAGCTCATGCTACAAAATATCTCTCACAAACTGGTATGAATGAAAAGCAAGCCATGCAAACAGCCAAAGATTTGTTCAAGATAACGAAGGGATCAGAAAGAAAGTGAGATGTTTTGAACTTCGGGCTGCTTTTATGTTTTTCTTACGAATACTATTAATCGATGCTAACACGGGAGTACCTTGGTTGGAAGTACTACTGAATTTTCATATTTGGCCTTCCAGTGGAACTTCGTGTTGGTTTTGACTCTAATATCTTCACACCCATCCTCTCTCTTCCTATTCGTCGTGGGGCGACTCTATAAACGTCATTCCTCTCTTTCTTATGCTATAGTTGTCAAACAGATTCTCCACACTTGTACGATGTGAGGACTATAATATTTTTTGTCTGGCTTCTTCTTGGAGGAATTGTATTAGTTTCTGGCTCACTTTTCAACTTTTTTCTTTTTTTGGTTTTTTGTGGTTTGAGGTTCTCATAGAACATTATAGCCAACTAGTCTTGTCCCAAATTTGTGGTTAAGACGCCTTACGTTTTTGGCCTATTTAGTTTTGGTCAATTTCAGGTTATAGTGAATCTATTTAACATGAAGTTCTCGGGGCATCCATTAGGGATGGAAGGGGCGTTGAATACTTTGACCTTGGTGATTTTATCGAATTTTCTTTAAATTCAGTAGATTTCCTCGCGGTCTTCTAGTAGGTTTGTAGTGTTTGTTGAAGGATACTCTGACGCTTTTCCATGTACTTCCTAGTCAAACGAATGTAGGATTGGTTAAATCGATGTGCAGGATACAATCCGTGTGTACATACGTGTACATGATTCATTTTTCCTTAGCAGAGGCACGGAAATAATTTCTTGAATTCTAAGGGCAAGTGTAGTACACAAAGCTTATCACCATCGCTACGGTATGCGCCAAATGACCTAATAATTAACCTACTCAAGATCGTCAAATCAGATATATTCGTGGTTTAATAAAACAACACAAAACAAAACGTGGGGTTTCTTATTTATTTCATATTTGGTACTTCTATTGCAGCACTGCTAAGAAATCAATGTCAATAAATCCAACTGACGACTTTTCAGTTGGAAAATGCTGCGCCGAGAAGTAAATCCGTTGTTTCTAAAGTTCATCTGTGGCCTAAAAGATGGTGAGCCACACGACTATCTAACAGTTGATGGCTACTTCTACATTCCTAGTTATGATAGTGATCTCAGGTCAATATTGTAGTAGTGTATTTTTTTCATTCATACTCGTCTTTGATTTCTTCCTGGATCATAATTATTTTAAAAAACAGTAACAACTTTATGATAATATTTTGTAATAAAACAACGGTAACAAACAGTTTCTTACCACAATAAATGACACTTAGCTTTTCTCCCGTCTAAGCAGTGCACCTTATTGAAATTATCTCAGTGGAAGGCTATATTCCTAATGTTATTTTTATTTAACGAAAGATGTGTTTCTATGGTTTGATTTATGTTAAGACTTTTAGACTTTTGAAAATTCAGTGCGCTTACCGCTAATTTCGAACAATGGGCTATAGCCGAGATTTCGAGCACAGCACCAGGTATCCCCGAAGAATCAATTGTGGTTTCCTTGTATGAAAATTTCACTACAACGGTACGCCTTCTGTATGGCGGATAGTAGGTTTTATCTTGAACTTTCTCACAATTATTTCTATGTTCCACTTTCTTTTTATGATTAGAATTTTTGAACCGTTTCACAAACCCGATTCCAATTCATCTATCACAGTGAAAGGAAGAGCCTATTGTTGTGTTCATTGTGGTAAAAGAACCAAAAATACATCATCCAGTGCCATATTTAGTCATGATCTAACATCAGCAGTCTGTCAAAATTTAACAACGTATCGGTTAGAGATTATAGCCAACTAGGTTGTCCTGTGTTTTTTGGATTTTACATTGAAAGGCACATGTAGCGCACTGGTTAGAGGTACTCCGGAATACACATGGGTTCGATCTCGCGCCTCAGGCTCACCAAGCTTTCAGTCCTTCCGGTGGTGGAAAGTTGGTGCCAGATCTGTTTGTAAGGAAAGCAGCATTGACTTGATTCATCGGTGGGCCACCTCGAGTCATTGTAAAAGCCAGATATGCATTCAGTCAGCTCCAATTATGCTTAGTATAGTCGAATGCATGGCGCATTCCTCAAGAATTGATCAACGCCGAGAGCTTCATCATTTATTCTTATTTGTATTTAAAGGACGGACAGAATTCTTCACCTCGAGTTTATTTTAAACTTTTCCAGACGATTTTTCGGAAAAGTGGGATGAAAGGGAGTTGTAATAGATTTTCTGACTCGAGACTATTTCTATATTTATGCAATTTACTTAAGCGAGTCGGCCACGTTTAACTACCTGGGGATGAAAACTCATTGTGATGTACTACGGACTCCAGTGCTCGACTGTCGCCTTTCGGACGCGTTGTCAGCGCTTCCACCAGAAACTCCCGACAGATTGCATTTTGCATCGAAATATAAACGTTCGGTTATGAATTGGGTGGGTTTGCCGTTAATCTGTTATGCGTCAGTTTCATCAATAATGTGCTAGAGCTCCATCTCCAATAGAATTAAGACCGACCTTTACAATCAGTGCTTTTGTTTGCAATTTTTTTCAGCACGTAACATATCTAACATCTGAAAAGCTTATTTTCTTTTGACACAAAATTAAGTAAATTCACTTTAAATGGGTACTGCCGATTTCATATTAATACGCCGTTCTTACTTAGAAATGAGATTTTTTTCTCACTGCAAGTAAGTTTTTTTTTTTTTCGAAATACACGCTTTTATGGTATTATAGAACCGATTGCTAAGATTTGGAAATTCCTATTAGTAATTACTGCAAGACTCCGTACTTTTTGTGTGCTGCAAAATTTTGGTTCAGACAACAGCCCAAGAAGTTCACTAGACAATGGTTTATGAAGGGTTCTGCTCTCTTTTAAAGTTTCTCTTAAATAATTCAAAAGACCGAGTTGTCATAAACCTCGGAATGAATAGTTGATATATTTATTTATTTATTTATATGATCTTATAAACTGATCTTTTTGAGCTGATGCGAGGTTGGTATAGGTTTTGTTGTCGTTGTCGTTGTTGTTGTTGTTGTTGTTCTTGTCGGTCGATGGCTGCCGTTTCGGCGATTTCGCCTTCCTCAGAGCCTGAACCTATTTTGTGTAACATTAGCCTTATACTCGGTGAAGTATATGTAGTGTTAATGAAGATCAAATTTCTAAATAAACTCCATATTAATCAATAAGACTACTCACTATTCTGTTACGAGTGTGACTGGCCTATCCGCTGTTCACGTGGGTTCGCGAGCGATACCCACCCAGGGGTCAAAATATCATTTTGAAATAAGGTGCCAGGTCACTTGTGATGGTGGGGCATTCTTCTTTCCGGTTCATCTTTGAATTTTGAAATTTATTCAAAACGCTTCAAGAATCTTGTGCGTTGATGTTTTCGATTCCTGCGCTGGGATCTGGGCATTCGCTTCAGAACCATTGCCATTGTGCTTCCTTCTCTTAAATAAGTAATCTGTTTCTCTTAAATAAATATAACATGTTTCTAAAGGAGCAGAGCAGCGGACGTTTTATATTCATAATTAAACTCTCTGGAAGGACCTTAAAATTGGTTCTTTCTTTATCTAAGAGTGTTGAAATGTGAATTCCCAATGAGTGCTTTTAGATTGTTCAGTCATCAGCTGTTGATTTTCTGCATCTCCTACTTGTTTGCATGGAATGGTTAACGACAGAATACGAGATTCCAGCTCGATTTGTGATTTCGATACACGATGAGGTTAGACATTTTTCGTGCAAAGACGTCCTAAGTGATCATATTTTAAGGCAATCAACTGTTTATTTATGTGATCCTATGAACTGATCTTCTTAACCTGACGCGAGGTTGGTACAGATCTTCGTTGTCGTTGTTTTTGATGTTATTGATCGATGGTTGATGTTTCGGCGACTTCGCCTTTCTCAGAGCCTGGACGTATTTTATGTATGTTAGAATACTTTTTATTATTCGGTGGAAAAGAAGGTTAAAGTGTTAATGAAGATCAAACTTTCAAATAGACGCCATATTGAACAGAAAGACCACTCACCGTGATGTTACGTGCGGGACTGGCCCACACGTAGTTCACGTGGAGTCGCGAGCGTCCTTAGGCGTGCCATTAAAAAGTGCTTAAGAAAAAGTGGTCTTGAAAATTATGTAACGATTATTGACATCCCACTCAATACCCTACGCCGCTAGTTGGTTCGAAACCGTCTCTATGATCGTTTGTGCAGCTCAGAAAACTGTATGATCTGTCCCAAGGGGAGAGACGGGGATTGCATGAGTTTAGGTATAATAGACTTGATCTCACGTAAGGCATGCGGTGAGGAATATATCGGGGAAACGGGTAGACCACTTTGTGTCCGCATAAAAGAACATCTAGATGGGAAAGCTAAAATCCGTTTAAACACCCCTCTAGGTACGCATAGGACACAAAAGCACAACGGCGATGATTTTGAAGTGAATGTGCGGATCCTGGCGCAGGAATCAAAAACATCGACGCGCAAAACTCTTGAGGCGTTTTGGATAAATTTCAAAAATCCAAAGATGAACCGGAAGGACGAATGCCTCACTATCACGCGTGACCTGGCGCCCTATTTCAAAATAATATTTTGACCCCGGGGAGTGTCTTGCTCGCGACTCTACGTGAACTACGTGTGGGCCAGTCCCACACGTAACATCACGGTGAGTGGCCTTTCTGTTCAATATGGCGTCTATTTGGAAATTTGATCTTCATTAACACTGCACCGAATAATAAAAAGTATTCTAACATAAAGTACGTCCAGGCTCTGAGGAAGGCGAAGTCGCCGAAACGTCAGCCATCGTTCAATAACATCAAAAACAACGAGAACGACAACGAAGATCTGTACCAACCTCGCGTCAGCCTAAGAAAATCAGTTTATAAGATCACGTAAATAAATATATCAACTATCTATACCGAGGTTTATAGAAAGTCGGTCTTTCGAGCAATCAATTGTTATTTACCATATCCGCATATTCCGAGAAGTGAGCTGTGGAAATTGCTAATTTAAACGTTTTGGTTATATAGTAATTATATAGTAGTATATAGTTATCATAGAGACACGTGTTTGGCAATATTTACTTAACTAGATACTTAAATTGTCCCTCCTCACTGGTTGTGCGGACTCCAGCATAATCTCCATTTTTCGTAAATTTCCTGGTTAAGGCATTATGGAACTCTGGAGTTCCGAGGTCAGTCAGGCCAAAGTCTGCCCGAGGTCGTCACCACCATAGGTAGTCGCCGTCCTTGTGGATCAAAGGGAGATTTGCCACCATGCGACTTTGATACCAGGCCGGCGGTGGATCCTGGTATTGGTTCACCCTTAGCTGGGCTTCCTGATGGAAACTCCGGGCTCCTTCACAGCTTGTGGGACCCTACCAGAGGGATGAATCCCCTCGTTGTACACCGCAGCTCGACACCTAGGAACATCTTCCATCCTGCGATGAGGTGGTAAACCGTTGGGAGGTTTGATAATATGAGCCGTAAATCATGCGCAGCGATTAGGTTTAAGCTTTCAACTTTGAACAAACCTATCTCTGCTCTTAGTGAGTTTTTTATCCGTAAAAAACGTGAAGCAATTCAGCGAAAAGTGTTCCTCCCAGAAGGATGTGATTACATTCTCTGATGCATCTTTATTATACGCGAACTTCAGTTTCTATAGAAGTCCAAAATTATTCGAGGTTTATGGGATTTTGAATACTAAGCAAAGTCTAAGTGAAAATAATTTTGAAGAAATTGCAGGTGTCCTTAGAACTATAAGACAAATTGTCTTCCGTAAATTCGTCAAATCCTTAAATTACTAGGATCATAAGTACTCAGGTTATCGAAAATCATTGCCAGTTATCCAAAAAACACCGACGAGACGTGGTCAAAAATACTAACCAGTAAATTTTCCATCAGCGTATAGCATTGAGGTGAGTATTTTGATGTCATAGGTGCGGTATTTGTGTCCCGAGAAAGACGCACCACGATTGGCTCTGGCACTTATGCTCAGCAACATGTATGTGCGTTCGTTTATTTCAAGCAAATTAGGTATCGAACAGTTACCTTCGGTGAGGACAATTTCCATTTCCCACAATTCGCGACTGAGTTAGAACTACCGAGAATGTTTGTTGCAGTCGGTTGCATTCTTCTCGCAGGTGGACTGTGATACCGTACTTCGTAAGGAGGTTCATATACCGTGTTTCAATCCAGATGGAACACAAGTGCCAGATGGTGGGTCTGCCAATAATCAAATCTATCTTGCAGTTTCCACTGAAGTCATTCACAGGTGTCTCATGGACGATCGAAGACGTAGTTAAAATTACTGGTGGTAAACTCGGTGCTTCTCCATTGTGAGAAAGTCAAAAAGTGAGGAAATGAGTTTTTAGACTAATTTCGTTGTGTTTTATGCATAATGTAAAGTTGTGAACGATATCAATGTGTATAAGAATAAAGGTACATCTATTATCAGCTAGTCTTGCTTATCAGCTAATCGTGCAGCAGTATAGAAGGAAATAATAGAAAGCAGATGCGATCGGTGAATGTCAAGTTCGACATATCATCAATGTTAGTATTGACTACCTACACTTTTTTTCTTAAAACTTACAACCGGTGTTATCATACACCAGATATGTAAATTGTAACCTCAACTGTTTGACTTCATAGTACATCGTGCTGCATTTGTAGAAATTAGTGATCGTACATACTTACATGAATACTTCGACGACACGTCCTCACTAATTGTGTGGGCCCCAGCATAATTTCCATTGTTTTGGAGTTTTGCTGGTTTAGCCATTGTGGTTCCCTGGAGTCCCGAGGTCAGCGTAGCCAAAGTCTGTCTCAGGTCTTCACCACCACAGGCAGTCGCAGCCTTTGTGGATCAGAGGGTGATTCGTCACCACGCGACTAGTTTGATATCAAGACGGTGGCCGATCCTGGTATTGGTTTATTCTTAACTACGCTTCCTGATGGAAAATGGTGGTACGTGGTTTTGTTTTAAGAAAAAATATAACAGAGAAGAACATAGCAGATATTTCTGTTCTTTTGAGCTTGTGAAGCTCCATTGTTTTGAGGCAGTCTTGAATTAGAGGAGTTTTCGACCTAAAAGATTCTGATTGGGAAACGTTAATTTGCTCACTAGGAGGATTGGTATTGTGAAAATGTAGAAGACTAGCCCCGAGAAAAGGTTACAATACTTGCTAACATTGGATGTTATGCTGGTCCATGAAATAGAGAACCTAATTCTTTATCAAGAAGAATGAAGGCAGATTACCAGTGAGGAAGAGGATCGATGAAACACCATCTAATTCGATTGATGTTATGAATGCAAAAGCATGTTTACTTTCAGTCCGTTGATCGCGTTGTAGACCGTAAGGAACACTGGCTCTTTTAGAATTCCAAACGGGTATGTATCAGTGAGAGTGACTGAGGATATTTTTCGTTAAGCATTGATACTGCTTTCATATGAGGAGAGTGTGGTTCATTGCTTAACATGTATTCTACCTACGTGCTGGATAAGCCAGTGGAACATCAAACCCAGAAGAACGACGTGAACAGAGTAATCAATGTGTTTGAGAAGGTATGTTTTAATCAAACAACAAGGCGAGGACAATTTAATTAAATAGCTAGAGTGTAAACAAGCTCGACAGAGTGTTTTCGCCTATAAGCCTAGCTGAGAGTCGTTACTGCTTATCACTGGAGGAAGCCAAGCAATAAGGTAGCAAAGCTTCAGGGAAAGGATTTCTTGTCCAGTTAACGAAACTTTCTGTCAAAAATATTGATAAAGCCCAAACAATTCTTCACGAACGCGTTCCATATTATGTGTAGACATTCAATAGTCAAATTATCAATGCCTGTTTTCCAAAGTTAAACGAATTTCCGTTTCGTTTTGTTTTACGTGACCCTTCTTCACGTCTTCTTTGCGGACCCCGACACTTTTACGCCCCGTTTTTCCCTTGCATTCATGGTCCACAGTGGTCTTCCAACATTCGGCGTGCTGGATAGGATACTGCTTGAATATTTTGTCTTCTCTTTATGAATGCTGTAAAATGATGATCGAGTCGACTATGTTCGCAATCTTAAAGATAGCCGGACCAATGGTTTCCCAGGTGAAATGAAGGAGAGCGTTGGGGAGGCGATCGAACTAATGTATTTCCTTCCTGATCGATGGCGTCATTAACCACTACGTTGCCCTTTCCTCACTTTAATACCGGTTTCAATGTATAATTCATTCCGCAACTTATGTCGCTTGCAGACAGGGACAGAATGAACATACCGAAAGCTGCTCAGCGAATAAAGCGAAAACTGTTCTGTTGCGATCATATTCTTGAATACCTTGATGACATATTTCCACGAAGGGTTATAGCAGTTTTCCTTGGCCTCGAAACTCTGTGCTAGGGCAGCCACGAGTTTTATCGTCCGCCCTTATGGTTCGGAAAGAAATTTACTACCTTGTAACTGGGGTTTCTATAATGCGACAGGAACTGGTTGTCCTGATTCACTGTTTGCTGGATGAGAAGATTTAACCGTCGCAGAGGTTCCCTGTTTGTTAGGAAAACACAAGTAAGTCGTCCACTCATGGCGAAGTTACAAATCATTGTTCGTCTTTAAAAGAAGTAAAATGAGAACTTTCCCACAATTCAGCAATTCGATTGAAATTCTCTAACACTTTTGATGGAAAATTTTATACTATGTAGTAAATATAGTCATTAAAAAGGAGGCCTTAATTCCAATGATGCAGATGGAAGCTCACAAACAACTCAATTCTGTAGGGAATGAAGAGCAAGTTCGCGTAGCTCAGTGAATAGTTAGTTGATTAGTCTTACTGCGAATCTTTTCGACTCTCGAAAGTAAATCATTTCTAATGGCGGCTAATTGGAAGACCTGTAATGTGTAGACGTTGTCATAGTTACGAAGATTTGAGCGAGAGTCGAGAAATGGAAACTGGTGTATCTCGAAGCGACCAAACGTTAGCCGAATGATCAAGCTGTTTATATCAATCTAATGATAGCGCAATCATTTAGAAATTTATAGGAATTGTGGTGTTAAAGTGTTGCAATAGAAATGAAGGCTGCACTCTCCAGATGAACCCACGGCGTCGGGCTCTGAGTGAAAGTGCCGGAGATAGCTTTCCTTCCATTTGAAAGAACTTCTACAAGGGAATAGACTGCTAGCTTGTGTGTAGCAACCTCACAACGTGCACATAAACCTGAGTATCTAAACTTTTTCTTAACAATACGACAGTAGATCAATAGTAGCTTAGCGATATAAACAAGTGAAGCAAGGAGTAATGAATAACTTCGGCATAACGTACTGTTGAAGTAGACATCGTTTAAATTAATGAAGAGCTTAGCAGTAGGATTCTACTAGATGAAATAAGAAACAAAGGTGATGGAGAGTTTGGAAGGGCTAGTCGAATGAACTGAGTCGAGTCGAACAAATTTTACACTCCTTGCATTCCTTGTATAATGAGCGGAGTTATTCTAGACGGAATACACGGCGTTTCCTGAGAGCACGTGCTCAAATTTTCCTCACCTGTCACCTGTAACCTGTAGTCCTGTTGAATGTCGAGTAACTCGAGCAGACGCCAGTAAATCTTCCATTTTTCCCTGTCGCGACCAAGAGTAGCCCAGTGGATTCTGATCGCTCTCGAGACTCGTCGAACATGATATCTTCCTTCTAGGCTTTTCGTTTCGTGAGAAACTCTGATCATCGAGTCGGTGGTCTTCCCGCAATGCGTCTAACATCCCAAGGAATCTAGTTACTAACAGCACTTGTCCAGCGGTCCAGCGGTTGTCATTCATGCGCATTACGTGACCGGCCCACCTTATCTTCGACTGTTTGGCGTATAGAACGGCATCTTTGATTTTTAATCGTTGACGCAGGTCGGAGCTCCGGATCCCTTCCTTTACTTGTGTGAAAAGGGATACTCCTAACATGTTGCCTTTCACTGCGCGTTCAATAACGCTGAGTGGCCCTTCAACCTGCATACGCAGCGACCAGAATTCTGACGCATACGTAAGGGCAGGAAGTACCGTTGAGTCGAAAAATGGGCACAAATTCGGGTGTTCTTTGTTCTCTTCACTACATCCTCGATGCTCTTGAAAGATCCCCAAGCCGCTCGTATCCTTCTGCTCACCTCTGGAGCTAGGTCGTTCATCATATTGATTTCCCGACCTAGATAGATATAACTGGAGCATTCGGAGACATTCGATCCGTTGAGCGTCAATGGAGCATGCGAAACCAATCCGTTCTTCATGAACATCGTTTTTGCAGGATTTAGTCGAAGACCAATCTTTTCACAGGCTTTATCAAAGTTGTCAAGTATAAGTTCCGCTTGCCTAATGTTTGGTGTTATAAGGACGATGTTATCAGCAAAGCGAGAATGGTGTAACTGCCGACCATCGATTTCCACTCCCATATTATCCCATTCCAATGTTCGCATGACGTTCTGGAGGGTGGCGGTGAATAATTTTGGCGAGACGGTATCGCCTTGCCTAAACACTCTTTTGACGTCAATGTTAATATCGTTGTATAATGGTCAAGCCATGGTTGTGAATTTTTTGTACAGCTCACGAAGAATCTTTATGTACTGAGTAGAGACCCCTTGACTACCGAGGGCTTCCATGATTGCTTTTATCTCAATTGAGTCAAAATCGACTCCTTCCTTGAATCGATGAAAGTGAGACAGAGCGGTCTTTTGTACTCTCGCGATACTTCAATGAGCCGTGTTACCGTGTGGATGTGGTCCATCGTATTAAATCCTTTTCGAAACTCTGCTTGCTCGCATGGCTGTCCTTCGTTCAGTGTTCTGTCAATCCTGTTTAGGATGGCTCGAGTGAAAAGTTTGCAGACGACAGACAGTAAGCAGATTTGGTGATAGTTGCCGATATCGTGGAGGTCACCCTTTCTGAACAATAACAGGGTGTAGTTGACCTTCCAGTGAGTAAGGACCTTGCATTCAGACAGGTAAGGTGTGAAGAGCCGAGCCAGTGTGTTTACGAGGACTGGGGGAAGGTTCTTCAGGTGTTCTGGTCTTATCCTGTCCGGACCTGGTGCTGTTCGATTTCTCACCGACGAAATGGCTTGTCGGATTTCGGAAGGGGAACCAGTGGTGCAACAAATCCATCATCCTTTATTTCACATGACGGAAGGTGAAGGTGGCTATCGAAGAGATCGGAGTAATATTCGTGAACGATTTCCTCCATTGCCTTTTTGGACACTGCAACTGTTCCGTCTGGGCGCCGGAGTGCAATCATTTTGTCTTGTAATTGGCGAAGCTCCGGTGAGCTTTGCGAATGTTTTTCCCATTCGATTCCGG